TGTATTTCCCCACGAACTGCCTTAGAGAAGGGTATAGTTTCTTAAAGAGAAAGAAGCTATACTTACCTCTTGGACACTACATATACCTACGAAAGGATTCCCTGTGCCATGTCGTCATTATAGAGTAAATTAAGAAGACTTTACTCTGTAACACTAGAATAGTTCTGACCGAGTATAATAATAAATCGTAGTTACTTATTTAATAGCTTAGGAATTATCCCTGAGTGGTGGGTAGGGAGGAAGCATATAGCTGGTCTACAATTTTATGGCGAGCGATAGCGAAGAATAGTCTTTACAGCTAATTCACTTTATACCTCTAACAATTTCCCATTACAAAATCATTAACTCATAGTTTCCATTACAATTTAGTAAATTTCCCATTACTACATAATTTGTTCGAAATTACTTTATTTTTTCCAACTAACGGTATTACGTTTGAATGTCATAACATAATCTCGTAATCTCACAATAATGCTAGCTACGTCACTTCGTAGACTAGCCAATCATTGTTTTGATTTTCGATTTGTCTATTTGAACTCATACAGTGGGATCCCCAAAATTATGGTCGGAAGGCATCGGAATCATAATCGGCTAGGCCGGAATTAATCGATTTTGCCTAAGATCACTAAAAATTTTACTAATGAAATTATAGTAGTTTATTAAGTAAAAAATGACCAGCTGACAATTTTGCTATAAACTTTGCTAACTAGTTTTACTAAATACTGGCCTAGCTCCGATACCTTCCGACCCGTAATTTTGGGGATCCCCCTGTATATTTGCGTAACAGATCATTATTTATAGGATTCTCTTATATCAAGAAAATCCCAGGCTAAGGATCTACAAAAATTAAGTTCAGAGCCAATAAAAATTGCAGGATCTTGCAGATCTTGCAGATCTTGCAGATCTTAACGTAAATCTAAACAAACGCCAAAAATAAAGAAATCATAAATAACGCAAAATTTTACTATGACAACTGATCTTTATTTCTAAGTAAAAAATGCGTAGCATGAAATTTTACTTATATGAAGAGTTTTTTATACTAAAAATAACAATATATATATATAATATTATCAAAATTGCATGTTAAATCGGATATAGATCATTTTCTTGACATAAGGAAATCCGCATTTATATTACCATTACACGTTAACTTTATCGTATATTATACAGAACTCAGAGTTTCATTCTGATATTTGTAAAATAGGAAACACGAATGACAACGGCGAAGATAGCACAAATTAAATTAAATACGAATTAATTATCCCTGATTTGAACAAGTACATTTACGAAAAAAATTTAACTAAATCGAACAAAGCCTATGTGAATATATTAACTGGATCTATAACAGAGAAAGTCTTTACAAACGAAGATTAGGAATGGTAGTTGGCAGAACACCCCAACGGGCATAGGCATTATTTAGAATATGACCGAAATTCTTGCAACAAATACGGTAAAGTATTCATTATAGCTGAAGGCTCGCTCTTTTTATAACCCTAACAAAGTTTATAATTTATATTAAAAACTAAATTTTTTGTCTAAAATATAAGGTTTGCTGGGCAATTGAGTGAAATTTTTAAGTTAATATGTTATTCTCTTTCACTATATTATCATCAGATTTTTCATCTTTTTCCAATATCAAACTAATCATTATTAAAATATAAACTATCGCATAAGCTAAATATAACCTAGCAACTGTATTAACAAAAACTTAAAAAATATCATAACCACCCACTTTCTTTTAGCTCCTTCAACTACATCTATAATGTCTTGTCTTTGTGGAAAATTCCATGCAAGATTTATTTCTTCTAATAATACTAATTACTCTATTCCTACTGAATCGACACTTATTAATACAAAGAAACCTAACAAATCTACTTCTTAAAAATTTATTCCAAACAACTGATAATATTTCATTCTTTCCTAATTAAATGTAATATTATGTCACCCTATTGACAAATATTCTATCTTTGTACAGTTTACGTAATCATCGATTTTTTTTTTTAATACTGTAGAATAAATTATAAACTATACAGCGAAGTTAACCAAATAAAGAGCAAGTATGATGTCATATGGCTATTGGTCCTTAAAATATAAAATAGTATCAAAATAAAGCATTTGAATAGGTGAAAATCTGGAATTCTAAGAATTTTATAATGGTATATTATGTTACTTGGTATCTTTTGCGAAAGACTCATATTTACAAAAACTATCCAAAAGCCAATTATTAGAGTTTGAAAATTTTTCCAATTTCACCCTTTTTGTATTATATTTAATAAATTCATTCGTTTTGTCTTTATCTATTTGGTTAGATATCACATATTGATAGGAAAAATAATCTACTAAATGAAAAATCATCCACTCTTTATCGAAATAAGAATATCGAAGTGGCTTTTTAGCTTTAGTTACTAGTGCATAATGTCCTTCTTCTATTATCTTCTGTATATCATCACATCCATCATAATCCAATGATTCTTTACATACAATTAAATGATCGTGATCATGAAATTCTTTAATTTTACTATTATGTTTAGCATTTGTTGGAGACGTATATTTGCTAGTTTTGTTGTATAATTCTAAAAAATCTTGATACATATTAACTTCTTTATGCCAGATAAAGAGATAAAACAAGTAAATACTATAAGAGACTTGAATAACAGTATAATTATCATTGATTTTAATAGGTTCTACATTAAAGTAATTTTCTTTTAATTTAGCAATAATCTTTTTCGAATACTCATTTTTCAGTTTTTTATTATTATACTTTTTTTTTATTGTTGATTTTGGGTTTACTACTCTTCATGATTGATTCGATTATGAAATTTGATAAAACTTTTTATATAAAAATTACTGTATGAAAATTTTCTATTTCAATAGATCAACTTTCTATTTGATCAATATTTAGAAAAAATAAATATATTATAATTTAATTTATATTCAATAAAATAAATAATTAATGCCCAATTTATTGAAGAATCCTATAATAATAACGAGAATGCTAAAATCAAATTTCGAGTTTGCTTTTATGAATCCAGTAACATGACATGAACTATCGGAAATTGCCGATCTTATCCAGATCAGCACAATGTTGGAATCTGAGCAGAGTCCAATGAAAAGTTTTTTTTTTATTAAGTTAACAGCCAAAGTCAATTAATTGAAAATTGTAGAGCTCACTGAGACGTATCTATGATGGTTAAATCATTCAAATTGGCCTAGTGGATACCGAGATAATACTAAAAAACGATTGGCTGACTATATAAAATTCTATGCAAACTGGAAATTTTATATAGTCAGCCAATCATTTTTTAGTAATATCTCAATATCCACTGGGTCAATTTGGACAATCCAACCATTATTAGATGCGTCTCAGTGAGCTCTAAAACTTTCAATTAATTGACTTTGATTATTAACTTAATAAAAAAAATACTTTTCATTGGACTCTGCTCAGATTTCAGCATATAATAAAAATTTTTATAGCACGGCCACTATTGATCATGAGCATTACACCATTTATGTTATAAATCACTATATTTTTATTTTGTCATTAATGCTTGTTATTTTACACGATGCATATGTTATCCAAACTTATATTGCACTATACAAATTAAAGAGAATTTTAATAAATAGTATAATTATGATCAATGACCGCCGTACTATAATACAATATACATGATAATTCTGAGATACATCACACTGGTACAGCAATAATTTTTTTGATTATTCAGAAAATGCCGCTTCGTGGCATTCTCTGATCAAAAAAAAACGTGATGTTATCTCATATTTTATATTATATAATAATAAATATTGATAGTATATGTGGCTCTCGATATAACAGAGGCCATGGTTCCAGTATTTTGCTCCATTATATCAAAAGATCCGTAATATCAAAATCTCATAATATATCAGATATACCAGTATGATCACATGAAATGTGTGAGGGATGGTTTGAATAATGTTTTTGGGGGTGGCCTATGCTGATTTTCGCAGAATCTTTTTTTAGTAGGAGTAATGATTTTCATTTATTCATTTCTGGAAGAAGTTAAACATATACCCAGGGTTGGCACATTTGTCCATTGGGGTGAATGGAGAACAACTCCATTGACATTGCTCCATTGGGTGTAATTTCCGAATAGAGCTAATGGATGCCAACGACCTCCATTGACATTGCTCCATTGCTCCATTGGGTGTGATTTCCGAATGGAGCCAATGGATGCCAACGGTATATAATTGATAAGCAAAGTTATGCTTTTAATACACTATTGTGCAAAGCAAAAAATTAAAATCGAAATTAAAAGGTTAAATTGATATTCGTATACTGGTTTATAAATTTTATATTTTTATTGGTGTTGTCATAGTACGAGTTAAGGTTATTTCAAATAACTATATCGATCGATATAATAAAAAATAAATTTATTATACTAATTTGTACGTGAGTATAGAATGCTAATCTTCAATTTTAAATCTACAAAACAGTTTTGTTCAACTTTTCGCAATCATTTTTTGCTTGAACATCATTTATACCATTTTACTGATGATTTTAGGAGGCGTAAGCTTATCTTTAAGGGTAGAGTGTAACTATTTCCAAATTCATATAAAATAGATTGTAGATCAACTTGTGTAACCAATATCATATGGTATCATATGATTTACATGTAAACAACATATGATTTGACCAATCGTAATTAGAAATTATTTGTATAACTAGAGAAAAACATATAGCGTCCAGGGAAATTTTTAGTTATATGTAAAGTTAATTTTTTAAAAAACAAAATGTAGTATAAAACTTTATTATTATAAATAAACTATTTTAAACTACATATTGTATAAATTTGATACAAATTGGTTGAGGTATTAAAAAGTTTTATTAGAAGCATTTTTTTGTTTACTATGTAAAAATTCAATATACCACGTAGATCATATGAAAATTGATCTACATACACCCTACCCTTAACAGAAACATGAAATTATGATTATTCTCATCAACTAAATCAGTATAAATAAAATTAAATAAGTGTCACATATTAGTAAATATTACTGTATTTATCTTTGCAATTTCTGTAATAAAATTTTTATTTTTAATAATTTAATCTTACTACTTAAAACCTAAAATTTCATAAAATCTATCATTCAACCGGAATAGTTGAATTACAAACATTTAATTTATAAGGGTTTGTATTTAATATTGTATGTAGAGAATCTAATAGATCACAATTTTAATTCAGGTTGATTATTATTAGATCCAATGCCTAAGGAGCAGTTATTTTTTTTATTTTAAGAGTGGGAGCACCATGTTTGTGAAAAAATTAATACAATTAATAGTGGTAATAGTGATTGCAAATAAATAAGATTAAGAACTAATCGAACTTATTTTATCTAATCTTGGTTGATCTAAACAGGGATCAGGAGAGCAATATGCATGCAGCTTCAGGGCGTTGTATAAGTCATGTGGGATAAGTGCACTATTAAGGGATTCAGGTTTTTATCATTCTTTTAACCATAGTCTTTTACTTATTCCCTTTTTATCATTTCCGTGCTATACCCGATTTAGATCTATTCCAGTTACGTAACAATGATGAAAGTGAAGCAATAACATATGATAAATTATAATATTCCCACTATGCAAAAATTACATAACTGCACTTATTGATAAAATATGAGTTCAAATTTTATAACAAAATATAATAAAAAATAGCCTAATTTAATATCGAGTACAGTAGAGTTAGCTAATTGTATAAATAAATAAATAAATAAAAATGTTTTGTATACCACAATACAGTAATATGAATAAATTTTTTATTGATTTTCTAATTATCGTAATTCAAACAAATATGGTGGTTTCAAAAGGTTTTGACCAAATAAACTGCTAAGATTCCACTTTGCATCCTTATTAATCGATGGGTGGTCAATTATATTGCCCGCCTGATTTGAAA